AAAAAAAAAAAAAAAAAAAAAAGGCACCAAAGTCAGCCTCTAGGGTTCTTGTTTTCACCCAACTCTTTGTACTGGAGTTTCAGGTCCTGCATCGTATCTACCTAGTGGTCATCATGTTGCTTTGTTTTAATGAAGAGTCCCCAGCACACTCCAAAACTCCCCGGGGCTAATAGGACCCTTTGGCACTGTGGCCCAAGTTTTCTGAGGAATGCTGAAGCTTGCTCAGATTTAAGACTCAGTGAGGGGCAGCAAGAGATTTTAACATTTCCTTTTTAATGTTAATTATACGACGATTGTGCCAGCAAATAGGCTGTGAGATTCAACGCAAGGTACACGGTCATATATGTTAACTTACTGAAGATTAGAGTCCCACTCTTGTTCCTAAATGAACTATACTTGTCAAGTAGAACAAAAAATACTTTTGGCAAGCCACACGATGTGATGGACTTATGGAGCATAAATTAAGACTTAACAGGAAGAAGAAGAAATGCTTTATTTTGGTTTGGAGATGGGTTCTGTTTATTGATAGAAAATATATTTCATAAACATCAAGGAGAACAGTACATTCAACACATAAAATTATCACAGCTATAAACAAATTTCCATATGTATTGCTGTGTAGTTGGAAAAGTTTATTTATCATTCTCAAAAACAAACATCAAAAAATTAGAAGCAAGCACTATTTTGATCAACCTAAACAAATAGAAGAGAATACCTGAAAAGTTTGGTAACTCAAGGTAAAGAACATTAACTTTGTTTTTTTGGGGGGTGAAGGAGGCAGTATTTACGAAAACATGGGAACAACCATAGACTTTAAATATATATGTGCTGGTGGATTTAACAAAGAATGGAAGAGAGGAGGTTACAAGACCACGTTCTAAACTTAACCAACTTGGGTTCTTTCCCTGCCACCCCCTCCTTGCTGCGACTCGGGCACAACGTTAGTGTTGCCTACAACTGGAAGGTAACAAGGCCTCCCTCCCCGGGAGCGCAGCTGAGAGTGACCCACATCAAGCACGTGGGCCAGGACCTGCACCCACTTAAGTGCTCGGTAAATCGCGGTGATCACCCTTATCCTGCCCCAAGCTGATGGCCTAAGTAATTCTAAGCATCTTTAAAAAAACAAAACAAAACCCCCAAGAAACAAAACTAACCTCTGAATGCTTCCCAATGTTAAAACAAACACGAAGCTATTTCCGTTATAAAATGAATCCTGGAAACGTGGTCCCTTCTACACTAAAGTAACCGCATTCCTATTTGTTCAACAGGACAAGGAAAAGCGAAGTTAATGAGCTGGAAAATACAACCAGGATGCTCAACGTGGTGGACGGCTCTGAAGACGGCCCCCAATAATCCCCTGCTCCTGTTGTAATCCTCTCCCCCTTGAACTGGGCTGGATTTACTGACTTCCAGGAATAAAACAGGGCCGAGGCATATCGCTTCCAGGATTAGGGCACAAAATGACAGAGGAGTCAGGAAAAAGCCTATCTCTTTCTCTTGACCCAAGTCCACTACCTTAGGAGACCAGCACAGCAAAGAACTGGCTGAGTCCCGAAGCAGACACCCCCAAACGCAGCCCAGAAGGAGAGCGGCCTGGGCTTCTAACAGAGGCTGGGAGGTGGACGGAGCACAGCGCTTGTTTGGGGCGCAGATCCACTACTTGAAGGTACAGCACCTCTCTGACAAAACTAATGGCCACTGGGCATCTCCGGATGGCCACTTCACTGGCTGTAAAGCGGAACCCTAATCACAACCCGGACGATCTCCCAGTCTCAAACACACAAGTGTGCGGGTCACTTCCACGGCCCCAGGCTTTTGCTGCTGCAGAAGCAGCAAGCTTTAAGATGCATCTTTTTTTCTTTTTGCATTTTTTTAAGGTTCTCCTCCAAAGTCTGCCCGGCCGGCTCCTCAATATTCACCTAAAAGCACCACCTCCGGGAAGCCTTTGCGGCCCTCCGGCCCCGGCCGCCCCGACCTCGCCCAGCCCCCGGAAGACGCGGCCGCTCCTCCGTCTCCGCGCCGGCGCGTCCTCTCCGCACATCACCTGCTCTCCGGGACGTCCGCGACTCCGCCGCTCTGAGACCCACTGAGGGCGCGGAGACGGGCGCGAACTGCGGGGGAGCGGCGGACAAACACCCAGGCCCGGGAAGACGGCCCGGGAAGAGGAGAGGCGCGAGCCACAGACCCTGGGGCCGCCCGGCCCGGCCCGGCCCGGCGCGGCTTACCCGAGTCTCCCCCCGGCACTGACGGGGGCAGCGTGATGGTGAACACCGCGGCCACGGCGGCGAACACGGCGACGCCGCCGCGGAGGCCCCCGGAGCGCCCCCGAGCGCGGCTCCCGCGGTCGCCGGGAGGACCCATGGACCCGGCCGACTCGGGAGGGACGACGGGCGGAGGACTCAGCGCGTAGCCAACCATCCGGCGGAGAGGCCAGCACCGCCCGCACCCCGCCGCCGCGGCTACTTCCGGGTGGAGCCGGGCAGGTGGGCCGTACCATTCGGCGCCCGCGCGGGGGTGCGAGCTCGCCGCGCACTCGAGGGTCGGCCCTGCCGTGCTACTGTCGCCACCGCGGGCGGTGTTTTCATGCTCATCATGATCTGTCACCTGAACAGTCATTGGAGGAGGATTCCTTAACAAAGTCATCGTGGGCATAGGTCCACGGACTCTATGGTGATTGCCCCCTCTTTGACAATAACTTGGTCGATTCTAACATAGATAAGCGCTGCCTTGAAAACTGAGAGCTAGAAAGGGCTGCTGCCGCCGCCTGTGGTGTGGGGTGGAACTGCACAAAAGAGCCACGGCGTTAAAAGGAAGGCTAGTATGGTTCCAGTATTTTACAAAGCAAATCTTAAATATGTAGTCAATATGTATTTCAGTAAAAACATCCATAGAAATTGCTTATATATAATGATTCACTACTTTACTATGACGGTAAGAAATATTAGAGGTATATACAGAGAAAACTTTAGGTAATATGATGGTTGGACTTTATCGAAAGGCCAACCAAAAAGATAGAGGATAAATATTTATTGTTTATGCTTTTCTTCATTCTACAGTGATATAGAGATACTTACTGTAGTGCAAGCTATGAAGTATGAACATATGTACTCACGTAGGATTCAACAAAGAGACAGAACTAATAGGAAATCTATGCAGTGTATTATAAGATCTGATGCCCAGAGTTGTCTCATGTAGTCATGGGGTGACTGAGCCTGTTTGGAATGCAGAGGACAGGCCATGAGGAAAGGGAGGCTGGAGTTGCTTCTTCTTAAGACTTTTCCACTGATTGAATCAAGGAATTCACATTACCTATAGCAATGTTCTGGTTCGAACCAGAACAGATGATGAGCTTTAATTGTGTCTAAAACATGACCGCACAGCAACACCAAGATTAATATAATTGAAAAGTTAAGGAATGTAGCTAAGCCAGTTGTAATAGCTGAAAACCATCACAAAAGAAAGAACATGTAAATTAGGAATGGTACATCAGGTTGAGGGAAAGTAATCCTTCATCCAAACTGCTTGGAACCAGAAGTGTTTCCAATTTCAAAGCTTTCTGTATTTGGGAATATTCGTTCAGACTTTGCTAGCTGAGAATGTCAAATATAAAAATCTGAAATCTAAAATGCTCTAAAAATCGTGTCAGCCTGCTCTAGTATCATGTCAGCACTCCAAAAGTCATGGATTTTGGAGCACTACGTACAGATTTTAGAAATTTTGCTGAAAGTGTTGAACCTGCACATAGCCCTGAGATCCTCTGATATCCCACATTGGTTCTGGGAGCCTTGAAAGCCAAACAAAATGGAAACAGGTTCATTTATGTGGTCTCTCATCCTCCAGAGAAAGACTCCTCTCTTCTTTGCGTCTATAGCCAGCGTGGAGCCTCACCTGAGCTCCGAGGGATGGCTCTTTATCCCAGCTTCCCATTAGTCCTGCCCTGTACCTTACCTCAGTGGGTGGTGTGGCAGTGCCTTGTGGCTTCCCCTGGCCCCACATTGTGGGTGGAGGCAAGGGAAGTGACGAGCTCTTCAGGGCTGGACGTGTAGGAGGTGACCCCACTAACCACATAGAAAAGACGGGCCTCATTGTTGCCCACACCAGAGAAGGCTCTGCCTCCTTCCTCAGCCTTCTTAGATACCACCCTGGCGGGTGTATTGAGGCATCAGGAGATAGTAGGTTCCTGGTTTCCCATAGAGCTTTTGTTAGTTTTTCTTTTGATTTCTGATGCAGTAGAGAGGGTGTTTTCTACACTTATCATTTTCTCTTTGCTTGGTTCTTTGCCTAGGAAGATCAAGGTTTTTTCTTCTTTTTGTCTGTGTTCATTGGCACCTGTTACAGTTTCTATCCAGGTGTCCCCACAAAGCCTCGTGTAGTCACTGGGGTTGCTTCTAGAGTTTTTGATTAATTCATGATCCAATGCTGGGATTATGGGTGTGAGTGCTACACCTGCCCTGAAGCAGATAGACTGAAAGCAACACAAGGAAGAGAGGCCCGGCTCTGCCTCGGCGCAGCTGCCGCTGCTCTTCCCTTTTTGCTCTTGCTGTTTCGCTGTTTTCAGCTGCCATGAACTGCAGTTCTCTGCACGTGCCACTCTGCCTTGGAGCCAGCTGAGTATGGACTGAAACCTCCACTAACGATGAGCTAATTAAACCTTTCCTTCCTTAACTTTGGGTATTGGGTATCTTGTCCCAGCAAGGAGAAAAAAATAACTACTAGAGCACCTCTGGGTTGCCAGCTTCCCTAGCTGCCAATCCAGGATGCAGGAAGTGAAAGTCCAGAGATGGCACCTGTGTGCCATTGTTCAGATTCCAAAGCTCCTACCTTGTCTGCCCTCTTTTCTCACCTATACAAGTCTTGTTAGATTTATGTTCTATACTATGTCCAGGGTGCTTAGTTGGAGCTAACAAGAAGAACAGGGAAAGCACATAGACTCCATCTTTCTAGAAGCAGAAGTCATTCTCCTTCGTTTTATTCTTTCTGAGCATGCCTAGCAGTTTTACAAATACGAATACCCTTGAATTCACCTGAAATTATAATTTAGAAGTTCATGCCTTTTAAAACCCCACTTGATGTCAAGTCAGTTGTCTTTATCTTACTAATATTAATGAAATTCTATCTGAGAAACTTAAGATTAGACCCTAGAATATTATCCAATAAACCATCTGCAATAGGACAATAAAAAAGAAACAAAAATCCCAGTCAAATGCTCAGAAAAATAACTTCAAACATTGAAATGTACCAGTAACCAGAGAAATTTGAAATAAAAGCAGAGCAAGGTCATTTTTACCTCTCTAACCATCAAAAGTACTTACTATCTTAATACTCAATATGAAATATTGATAATAAAGGAATTTGATGTAACATTTTGGAGACCAATTTAGCCATGTGTTTTAAAAATTCTGAAAAGATGGGCTGAGGCTAGTGCTCAGCTGTCGAACACCTGCCTGCACAAGGCCCTGGATTTAGCATCCCTAGCACCACAAAAATAAAAATCAAAGTTTTGTGAAGATGCTCATATAATTTGCCTAGAATTTTAAATAAATACATGAAGACATGTTCAACTTTATAATTAGGGAAAGGCAAATTTAAAAATCACAGTGTGATACAACACGCCTACCAGTTTGGCAAAAATTAAAACCTCACTACATATAATAGTAAATGTACTCAACAACCTCAGTATTACCAGAAGTGTAAATTGGTATGAACACTTTAAAAAACAGATATTTTTCTAGTAGAAGAGCCTACAGCCCAGCAATGTCAAGGCAGGTTTTCATCAAATATCCATGGCAGTGTGTTCATAATAACCCCAACTAAGAACACCACCAAACAGTTGAACTATAGAATAGAGAATTGCATCCTACTATATTTATTACATAAGGCCACAGTATAAAACAGAATGAATAAATCAGACCAAGCTACAATAGAGTACTACAAACAACAAAAACATAGTATTAAACAAAAGAAGAAAGTTATGAAAAACAGTTCAAGAATGACTCTCGTTTTTAAAATTGAAAGAGTGAAAGTAGTCGGTATTATTATTATGTGTATTATTGTCATTATACACCCATAAGGTTTAAGACAATGTCACAACTGGTGAGCTAATGATAGCTGCCTCTATGGGTAGGTGGGGTTGTGAGTGGGAAGACACTCATGGGATGTTTTGTCCATATCTCTCTGCTTGACTTAGGGGACCGTAGCATGGGTATGTCCTTTGTAATTATTCTTTAAACTATTTATAAATGCTTTGTGTATTTCAAAAAAATTTTTAAAGTAAATAAGTAAGATTCTGGAGCAGTTATCTAGTTGCGCAATTTTAAAATAATTGCTAACCAGTGTATAACCTGGGTTGATGGAAGATAATTCAGGAATCATACTCCTTTTAGTCCTTTGTAATGGAGGGGATCCCAGAGAAGTATCTCACAATCAAGAAGAGTAGATTTCATAACAGAAGTAAATTTTGTTTCAAAATTCCTTGTGGTGATCTAATGTGACAGAGTACTGTACTCTCTTCTAAAATTATTTATTTGTTTATTTGTACCAGGAATTGAACTCAGGACCCTGCTCTTACCATGTGGGTGCCTGTGCTGCTGAGCTATATCCCCAGCCCAAACATATTTTTTGAACATAATCTTTGTAACCATTATTTAGACCTTGACACAAAAATAAAGAAGACTAATGAGGTAAGTATTATTTTTTTCCCAGTCTCAGGCAGAGTGGCTGGAAAATTCAAACCACTAACTTACCATGAAGTTTGCAAAAGAAATAACAACTGTCCTCAGCCCAGAAAAGTCTTGTAACAAATATTAAAGTACCATTGCTTCAAGATCTGTTGAGCTTATACTTGAATAATTTCAGTAGTGCTTTTAGGGGGCTGAGGAGTTGGCTTAGTAGAATAAGTGCTTCCCTGGCAAGCGCAAGGGCCTGAGTTCAATCCCCAGTTCTGCCAAAAA